CCTTAGATCATGTTAAATGATCTAAGGCTAGGACCCTATCGGTTAAGTACATGTATTAAATATAAAAAGGGCGTTAACAAGTCGAGTAAATTTTGTGAAGCCTAGATTAGAAACTAACAGGAAGATACAATAGGGGTCTCACACCCCAAACCACAACAATTACGGAGCCACCGAGCCTTGTCCAAGCTTCCCAATGATCGTTACGTCACTGGATCAGCTTAAGTAATTCAGTAATTTACCGAGTATATGGCTCAGTGGTAGAGCGTTGGGCTTCATAGCCGGAGGTCGGGTGTTCGAGTCTGGACTGAGGTACGAATTTTCATCTGTAATAATTTCCTTAGATCAGTTTCCTACCCCGAATTAGGTTTTCCTGCAGTTTTCCTAATTCGTAAAGTAAACAAATACCGAAGTAGTATAGAACAGCTGAAGACTTTCTGCATGAGGAACCTCTAAAAGCTTTATGCGGGTCACTCTGTAATTGGGTGCAAGCCTGTTCAGGGCTCAGAACAAGAAAGGGATAATAAATAAATAATTCAGGTGCGTTTCATTCACTTTGGAAGCGATCGGTTTTTGCATGACGTTATTATGTATAATAAACACGAGTAAAACGAAAATTGCCCGAAGGTATTAAAAAACCATCAAACCCAGAACTTTACAAATTCATCTTGGCCATACCTTTACATTATTGCCCCTCTTTTATCGTTTATGTACCTAATAATAAAGAAGCACATAATAGAGATTTTACGATTCATAAAATTTTGCCTGCAGTAACGCAAAGAAAATAACTACCTTACAAATTAATTAATCAATGCGGAGCGGTAGAAATTTAAAATGAAGCAGGAAATTCGTGCGCTTTCTTTTCATGCAAAAAAAGTTCGGAGTTATATCCCTGACCCTGTTCTGCGCCCTAGTAGAGTGTCGACATTTCCATTACAAATGCATACATTAAAACTCGGAAACCCAAACCAGAATTGAAACAATTTTACATTACGCATCAGGGCGCACTAACAAATCTGTAAAATCAAACGAAGCCGCGTTATTGAAACTTCGCTGTACCTAACTTTTAATATCATTAAATGCGGGCTTTCGATAACCGAAATTGTGGGCCTTCGTAACTTAGTTGTTTGCAGAACAGTAAACTAGTGTTAGCTAGCAGTAATGTTATTGACAGGTACTTCCATGGCGATGTGGCTAATCACATTACCAGGTGGTGATAGAATTATTGGTAACGCAGAAATTAATTACGACACCTACATCCGTTGTGATAATACCATTGTAAATAATTACGTTCATAAATTGGACCATCAACGTAATAGATTCGTTTTTACGCATTTACCTTCATTTCTCATGCATAGAGAGAATTTTAAGAAAATTCAACTGACCTAATTGGAAATATGTGGTTTGTGTGTGAGATTCAAATCGATTCAAGATGAAAGAAATCAGCTAATTGACTTTGCACGTGGATCTTAAGCCTATTTACCATAAGACATTCATATACATCAATTTTTGACTAATGTCATCAAAACGAAAAAGCACGTGGCGTACGTAGGTAACGATCAAAGGTAAAATAAATGGAGAATTTCAAAACCAGGTTGCATTTACATAAAAACTTGAGATAAGGTCTAAAGTTCCATGTCACTTACTAAAAGATAAATTGTCTCGTAATTATAAAAATTAGGCGGTAAAGAGGAACAAAACATTTTTGGTATGCAAATTGACAATCCAAATTTTTTGTCTTAAAATTTGCGTTTCTTCTTTCATATTTTTTTTAGCAACCGTAACACATAATAGGAGGATTTTTAAGGTTTTTGGATTTTTCCATTTCAATTTTCCAAAATATTTCCCAGAAATCACGCCAAGATAGTTTCTTTACTAATTAGGTGCCTACTGATGAGTGGAAAAATGTCATAACCTTTGTTTGTGTTTTTCCTTGCGAATGTGATTCGTTCAGTGCTGTCATATGAAATTTACTTAATTAATTGTTTATTTATCTATTTATCTATTTATTTATTTATTTATTTATATATATATTTATTTATTTATTTATTTATTTATTTATTTATTTATTTATTTATTTATTTATTTATTGACCTTCTTGTTCTGCGCCAAATTACAGAGTGACCCGCATATTGCTATTAAAGTAATATTATTAGTACAGTATAAATGGCGCTTAAAAATCAGTAGAAATCAGTATATTTACAAAACGCGAGATGGCGTTATGTGGAAATGACATTTTGGTTTGTATGGAGGCGGATACTCCTCTTCTATGAGTTATGATGCAATCTATGTTCACAGCAATTTCAGCGCAATTATAATTCATTTGGAAATATAAAATAGAACGAATGCAGGTATGAAACAAGTATAAATTAAACCGAAATAGCTTTTGTTTTGACATCACCAATGGATATACTCCTTGCAGACGTCTCAATCGCCCTTTGTGATTACCCTCTTCCGACAATCCGTTCTTGAGGTATAATCGAATATGATTGAGGAGGCGGCCTATGGTTGGAAGAAATTAATTCCTTTTGTTGAGAGCTTTCATTAGAGTACCATGAAGGATAAAACTAGTTCCACTCCCCCCTTCCCCTCCACCCCGTACTTTGATAACAGGACAGAAAGAAGGGTAGTAGTTGGTAGAAAAATGAGAGATAAAATTAATTTTTACCCCCCATCCCCCCCCCTCAAGCCCCGTCTCTCCCTGTACAAACCAATTTATTTTGATGAGACCTTTCATTAGAATACCATGAAGGGTAGAACATGAGTGTTTACCTCCCCCCCCCTCCCATTTTCAAACTTTTAACTTGGCACCACTAAAGGCATGCGTATGCAAAATCTGAGACCATTTGTTGTCGTATGTAAAAGTTAAGCACGTTTTACTTTCAAAAACAGTATCTCAGGAAATAATTCGGGGGAGGGGGGGGGGGGGCTTTTAGACAGCGAAATTTAATGGCACACCTTCAAGGTATAGGCTACCTACTGCAAAAAATTCCAGGACTCTAGGACCATTCCCCTGCAAGTAGTTCAAAACGGCAGAAGTGGGTCCGGACGGAAGGACAGACGGACAAAACGCAAATAATACCACATTTTTTTTAATTCTTAAAAAATGCGCTAAAAATTGTATTATGATCAATTAGAATAGTTGTCTCTCTTGTAGCAAGTTCATTAAAAATATAGTTACCTACATTGAATCTCATTTAGTTCAGGTATAAACCTACAATTTATTCGTTTTACTTAAATATAATATCGTTAGGTACCACCGCTTTATTGGAACAGCCTCAAACACAAAAGAATATTTTCGGTTGCAATGCGAAAAAACCAACAGTGAAGGCAAAAACATTCCCGGATAACCAGTTACGCGCCAACCTCCTTGGAGTAGCGCAACATTCTTACGCACTAATCTTGCTCAGTTTCTGTATATTCGTCCTTTTTCAGAAATTCTTGTATCCTTGTTCACGTGCATTTGGATTACTACGAGTAGCTCTTGTTGAAATTTTCGCCTCTGGAATACAGTAGCAAGGTATATAGAACAGGAATATTAAATAATTCTTATCCTCTTAAACCCTATCTTAAACACACCCTGAAAGGAAGTACAAGTTAGTAAATAAGCGAGTAAATAAGAAAGAAGCAGCTGAAATGGATTAGGAAAGACTTGACGTTATTAGCCCCCCCCCCCCTTTGATTAAGCGTTATCAACAACAAAAAACCGCAGGAAAAGCCCGAAATGTTCCACAATCTTAATTAATTGTTCACTTGATTTCGTCGAATTCTGAAAAATGTGATGACAGCTGTAAAAGTTATGTTAACTTCTTTCTATACTGAATTGAAATATTCCGAGTTTAACGTGTATATTAACAGTTAATGTAATGAAATTAGTATAATAGTACAATATACCTACAATATAATTTTAGGTTTAGTTCGACTTACATTTTGCATCTGGCAAGGATCACCTTTTCCGTATAGACTACCTAGAGAGGAAACCTCCTCGGTTGAAAGGGACAGGGACATCTTTCGCATCTTGCATAGACCGCCTCATTGTTAGCGACCGCCGATAAACCTCGAACGCCTTTTTCTTAACAACTGATGAGATTGTCTGTCAATCTAACTACAAGAACTTCAACCTGACGCCAATACTTGCAAATCACTTCAGTGAAATAAATATTATTTTGATGTGATCTAATAATAATAATACGTCAGACTGGGGCAAACATTAAATAGTTGATCGTAAACAGCCACACACTGTCAATTCATCGCTACAACATTCTTGTATGTGCTTTTGTTGAGATGATTGATACCCGATTCGGTTTAAGTAAGTCGTTAACGATCTTGACACACACTATCGATTCACCAGTGCAATCGGTCTAAAACGACGGATTCGATAGATCAATCGTATCATCTTTGAATTTATAACTATCAGAAACGCGGAACCCATACAACAGTTTGTGACCATATCCGGACTTGCAGCCGCTAGGGGCAGTTCGATCGTTTGAAAGTCCGTGGCCGTTTCATTGAAACTGGAATTGTTGTTTTGTCGCTCAAACAATAGATTACAGCATTTCAAACAATGTAAGTAATTGAAGTTGTAATTTGAAAGTTTTGCCTTCTATCGTTAGATGTCAGGAAGGTTTTTTGTTTTTAGAAATATGATTGGAATGTTCTAACAATAAATCCCTTACACAGCGTAGCGTAAATAAGTGTGTGTTTTGAGTGGCTTTTGATGATTGTGATTTATGTTTAGTCAGTGACATTCTAACGTGTGCTTGTTGATTGTTGAACTTTTACTTTTTGATAAGTCGGGCTGAGTGATAATAATGAACATTATCATAAATTGTAGGGATTAGTGTTACGTTGTTTTAAAGTGAAGTACTTATAGTGTAATCATCGAGATAATCATTGACTTTACAACTTACAAATTCAAATTTCAATGGTGTGATGTTACATGTACATTTTTAGGACAATTTTTGTGAAATTAGATGTGTAGTGCCTAACTAAATGATGTAATATTGGAACTTACACCATTTTCGATAAAAGATTTATCTCGGGATTTATTTTATATCATTGTAACGTAACATGCCTGGAACGTATTGCTACTACTTCAACTGTAACAAGAAGAAAAGTGACTTTCCACTTTTGCGAATGTTTAGAATTCCTGTAAAGGATAGCCAACAGACCAAGCGATGGATTATAAACTGTGGTAGGTACGTATACCATATACTCTGTAATGAGGCTTAACGATAATTTAATTGATATGATAGATTGACTACGGTCTTTTCTTGATAATTTCTATCTCGATTTCTATACACTGTGATTTGGTGAATTATCGGAAACTCTAATGAGGTAATGTATTTAATATACCAATGAACAACAGTACCTATAACAGGCGATCAGAAATGAATTGCTGTCGCCTTTGGAAGTTCAAGTTAAGCTATTTCCCATGTAAACAAAAATTCCAAAAGTGACTCGACAGCAACTCGTTTTTGATCGCATGGTATATAATAAACCAAGGAAATTTGGGATTAAGTTTAATTTTCCCTCCACTTCAAATGTATAATTCCTATTCCTCGGTAAATATCGACTGAATATAAAAGTTGTTTAACATTTTATTTCCCATAAGAAGGCAGGTATTTCATTGGTTTTATTTCAGAAAACAAATGAATAACGAAAAACAATTGAATTTCTTTAAATAGCAATGCACACTTTCATTAGCTCATTTGATAGAGATTTTTTTTCTCTTTTCAGTGACGTAACACGTTAGCACCCGTGTAGAAGAAATTAATTTTTATTTCAAGCTTTTTGTGATAGGTTATGCCACTGCCCTTTTGAACATTTATTGCGATGAAAACCATTTTACTGCTAATTTCATTTTGCCTTCAAGGTTTAATAAGAAACGTACACGTTCATTTGTTTTATTTTCATATAGGATATCTGGATTAATGTTATTGATCTAATCATCATAAATATTTTTGAAAATTTTTTTTGAATAAAGGTACTAATAAAGAGGAAAAAAATTTCTATCAAATGAGCCTAAAGAAAAAGTGCATTGCCATTAAAAAAAATCTATTTGAATCTCTCTAAGTAATTTAGCGTTTGACAAACAAGAGCTACCTACGCTTTTACAAGTCATAGCTCGGTTCGTATTAGTCATACAGCAATCGTTAAAAAACCATTTTCTTCGTTTTGTTATAAGCTGCACTGTTTATTTTTTATAATATCCATACGTTCGAGGTTTCCGCGAACCAATTAAAAACATTGATTATATCTATGAAATAGGTACTGATGCCTTCATTTGCGAATAACTCAAAAGTATAATTTTACAAAAAGAAATGCGAGAAGAAATGTATAGAACAGTTTTTGCTTAGAACTAATTTTTCAATCTATTGCTGTGAACAAATTATAATAAAAATGTCCATCTCCGAGATGGGATGGCAAGTACTCCCAGGGTGAAAGCGATTTCGATGCTTAGGCCTTCCTACCTATTATCAAAAATTCAAGTAAATCGGTTCATTTTGAACAAATTGACATGTCAAAACCTCCGTTTTCTGGATTATAGGCTATATTACAAGAGCTGATCCATTTCCAGTGAGCTAAATACACTATATTATTTACAGCAAAAATCATCTTATTCGATATGGAACCAAAGCAACTACACTCAAAGTACATATGCGAGCATCATTTTACAGAAGAATCATTTATGGATCCCCAAAATCGTCTCAGGCTAACATCAAATGCTGTTCCACTTCATTATAGCGGTTCAGTTTCATCGGCAAGAAAATCAGCCTCGGCCAGTATGTTATGATCTAATAAGTATACATTACCTAACTCGTTTATTATTACGCAGGCCCCCCTTTGAAGGTTAGAGCACCTACGCTGTTCTTCACCTGAAAGTGGATCTTCGGCAACATGGAAGAAGTAATAGATATTCCATCTGTGCGGACAAGTTGTAAAAGAACTCTTACATATGAAGACACCCCTAAAGAAAAAAAAACTAAGGACCCGCCTTGGTACCCAGAAAAAAATAATAAAAAATAGACAACAACAAGTGGTGAGGATGAAAACCAAAATTAAAAAACTGCAGCATTCCTCTAAATTAGAGATCGTTTTAAACAATTTTAATTTTTCAAACAAAAATTCAAAAGTAATGGCGAAAATGCAGTTTAAAACGAAGCATAGAAAGTGGACTTGGCAAAAAAGAAGGCTTTCGTTAATGATTTTTTATAAGTCGCCCACCTGCTACACACTCATGCGGCAACAAGGGATCATTTTACCTGCGCCATCAACAATCCGCCATTGGATTGGTAGATCCATGTTTAAGACAGGGTTTTGCAAAAAATATATGTACCAAATTAAGTCAAAATTCCAGGAGTATTCTGCAAATGAACGAGCAGCAGTTTGATGTTTTGAAGAAATTTAATGTCCATTATGGAGTGTTTGCAGTACTCCAAAGAAATGGACCTTGTAGAGGGATATGAAGATTTGGGCCATTTAGGCAGAACTGGCAGGCTGAAGCTCGGCCTGAAGCTGGCATTCTCGTCGAAATCGATAGCCGTTAGAAAATTTTTGAGTCTCAATTAATTTTCATCATATATTCTTAGACTTCATTGATAGACTATTTGATTGTCTGGATAGCAGAACACTGTTTACATCTAATCCATATTAATCAGCTTTTTCTGCTACCAACAAATATGTTCAAGATACACTGCAAGAGGCCATTCAACTCTTTCCCAAATTACAAAAGCTGGATTTTAGAAATGGGCGAAAAACAAGGCCTCCATGTTTTGCTGGTTTCTTACAAACCGTTTATTCCACTCGTATGCTTTTTAATGAAGAGAAGTAAACGGAATTATGTTCATTTTAACAAACAGGTTAAACCAAGATGTGTAAGAAAATCTTTTCTCAATTTATCGACAAAAAGGGGGTTACTGGTAGAAATCCATCTGCAAAAATGTTGAGCACAGATTTCAGGAGCAGCGCAATCAACTGCTTGATAAAACCACCCACGTCCTCAAATTGTGAACCTGATCTAGATATTGTCATGGAAGTCGATGAATGAAACTCAAATTGTTGAGAGCACAGACAAAAGTTCGTCATCCTCTTCGCAACGAGAAATGGACAGTGACAAAGAAGAAACGTTGGAAGATTGTGCTGTTGCTTATTTTGCAGGGTACCTCGAATTTAAATGCATCAAAGAGTTTGATTGCAATGCATGGCAGGAAACATTATGTACTGACGACATCTCACTTTTTAATAAAAATCAAATATTAATAATAAATAAAACATACGACACCCTAACAATACCTATACCGCCTTAAAAGCTCCAGAAACAGTTTTATAATATATTAACATGTCGTTAAACATTTTTAAAAAATATTATGAGATATTGTATTGTAAATAGGGAATTGGTCGAATCATTAAAAATAAAATAGAAAAAAAAATTAAAAAAACAAATTGCGATTGGTTAAGTCATGAAACATGTCAAGAGCATAGGCATTATATATTAAATCAATTAGTGCAATGTAACATATATAAAAAGTGTAAGTGGTTTAAAGGTAGTGCCAATCCTAAACAATGTCCGAAATTAAGGATTTTAAAAAATCGTTAGAAGTCAAAGTTTTGGTAGTGTGTAAATGCATAGATTTGTATTGAATCATGTATAGGTAGATATTGTTGTTTTTAATATGTATACTTTATTACGTTGTCCTTGGTTAGTTAGTCAAGATGTTTATAAATGAGGGCTGCCCATATGTAAATTAGTTATAAATTCAATATATACATTTTTGTGACTTTATGTTCCTCTCTTACAAACTTGGAGGTCTGAGTTGAGTTAGTTTTTTTGGTGGAATTTTGGTTACAGTGTTTGATCGCCCTACAAAAGATTTGCAATTATTCATTATAAGATTTGGCGGTAAAATGTGTATTTAGTATAGTTATTCTCAATAACCGAAATTAGACAGTATCCGAAATTTATGCCCATAATGTGTTGTGAGCACAGCAGCTGACCCAGAATGCTATCGGAGTAAACGTTCCCGATGAACGGGTAAAAAGATTAACCAAAACGCGTTGTGGGTATATTTGTTCCCACAACCCAAAGCCAGTACTCATGAGCTCTTGTTTCGTGTTGTGGGGGTATTGATTTGATCAGTTCGCGTTGGGTTTAATACGAATTAGCCATAACGCTTTTAAATGAAACCAGTGATAGTAAATGGAAAATCCAACTTTGTTCAGGAAACAACATTCCACTCTTATATAAATTGTGCACGCCTCCTGCAGATAAAGCGCATGGATTAGGAAAATTCAAGAATACGTGAGATTTTAAAAGAAAATATGATCCTAAGGTAGTTTGGAGGGTACAAAATTAAGCATAGATGTATAATTGATTTGTACCTATGTAGACCTTCCCAATTGTGTTTTTAACATTATCATTATCATTGAAATACTTGAGCAAAGATCATGATCTTTGACTTGAGTAGCTACATACATAAGGAAGCTTAAATTACATTTGAAACTGAAAGCAAAAAACCTACGTAGGCGTCCTTGATCAATTAAACAATATGGTCAGAGAATCTCTGATTCTGAGAATCTCTCCGTAACCTGCTCAGCGAAATGATAACCGTAGAGGTCTCCCCATGACCTACTGCCTCCCCATTGTGTCTTTACCCGAAGAAGAGCAATTTCTGCAATTGCGTGTAGTGACGTTAGAATAGTTTCTGGTGCGGTGCAGTTCTGATTAACATGACCCAACTTACGACAGTTCCAGCATTCCACTTGAGGTTGAGGTCTATGAAACAGGAGTTGAACAATTTTCTACTGCGACTCTAAGGGTGTCTAACTTATTACAGAGTAAGAGATTTTAATTCATCTATAGATTTAATGTCTACCAAACCTAACTGATTTTGATAGGTGTTATATGGCGTAAGATATCTTTAATATACTATAATATAATAAAATTTAGTACAAGACTCGTCAGTAAAATGGTATTATTAAATGTAATGTGTAATGTATCATTTTCCTGACTTTTATGTAAGTAAATAACTATTATGTATTTCACACTATGCCCATTTTTCACTCGCTAAAACCAATTTTACAGTCACAAAATAACTTTAACTCCAATCAACTAGATTTACAATTTGTTCCATATCTGTACAACCAAATAGCGATAATTAATCTCCTCAAACCGTTGCTGTGTCCTGTGTCCGTTTAATTTAAATTAAAATTTTAATTTGCCCGGTCATTATGGTCATAATTTTAATCACGCTCAAAATAAAGCGACCATTTCTATTTCACAAACAATTCTTTCCCCGTAAACTCAAATGAGTTGCTGCAAATTACGACGGTATGCCGATTGTCTTCGTAACCCGCACACATTCCCTCAAAACGCCAGAAGATAAATTTCAACACCGCCGCGACATTTATCGTTTTATGTATTCCGACGCTCCCTGTTTTCACACTTTTCGCATTCTTTATGCTGCACTAAATTATAAAATAAATTTAGTCCCGCCGTAAGTAAACATAGTTTTCTTGTTTTTTGCGGGCGCGTCGTAAAGCGGAGAGTCTTGAATTATTGACCCACTTCGTCAAAGGAGCTATAGCCGAAACAACGTACAAGGAACATAAGGAAGTACACGGAACGAAATTAATTAATCATAAGGATTATGGAGTATAGAGGATCTTGAAAAAATTAGGGATTAGACTGTAATAAGTTACATGGGAACTTTTATATAGTTCTTTTATGTGGAAAATGAAACAATGTCCGGGAATAATTACCGCTTCGAGCTTTTCCCTCCGTTCCAGTTCCTTCAGTTTTATTACTTGAAATATGGTTTAGCGGGTTTATTGATTTGGTTTTATTATTTAGCCTTATTGATTTTGAGTTCGCATCGCATTTACATTTTTTTCTAATTTAACGACCGTGCCTAATTATTTTTAATTATTTGGCCTATTAAAGTTGTTTTACAATCGCTCTTCAGTTCTGATAATGCCTACATCTCCCCCAGAGTCACCGATCGAACCACCAGATTAGAAGGTATGGAGTTCTGGATTCTGGATTACGATAGGAGGGTGAACAGTGTCCACGCGTACTTAGGCCTCAAATTCGGGCCCTTTGTACTACCTCCCTGACTAGGGTCGCCCGACCCCTCAACATCACTCAAGCCATCCCACACGTGAGATGAACCTTAGGACGCTGGAAGGGGAGGCGGCTCTAATCGTAGCCATGTCCGGCCAGGATTCCCCCAACATGGATCGTCTCAGTTGGACTAGAGCGGGACATTCACAGAGTATGTGGTATGCCGTCTCGTCGTCTGTGTAACATCCTCTACAAGATGGTGATTCCACCAAACCCATGCAGTGCATGTGCTTGTTTAGTTTACAGTGCCCAGAAAGTATGCCCACGAGTAACCTCAGGTTCTTCCTTGGGTATGGTATGGAGTTTTTACACCACTGATACAGCATCAGAAACGGAAATGACTCTTATACAAATATTCATCAGTTCTCGCCGTGAATTAATATCTTTGTTATTGGTGTCGTACCAAAAACTGTGGAAAGCATAAAAAGTAGAAATAAAGAGAAGTTGATACCTAATGAGTAGAACACCGAATATGATGAGATCTTGATGAGAGACTTCCCGGTTGCATAATTCAGAGGTGTCCTTGTTTTATGGTGCAAGGTCGTGTCCTGGGATTTCTCTGATGAGCCAATGCTTTAGGGAGGTTAATTGGACGTTTAATTTGTTAAGTCTTGAATCAAGCTTAATCAATAAATTTAAATATCTGGCATTATTTTTGTATTTGTGGGGATACATTATTCAATTTTGGAGACAAGTTTAGTTGACATTAGTTAGAATAAATCAATATTTCTTTCATTAGGTAATTTGATTTCACTGTTATTTCCCTTGTATCTTCTCGGTTTTATACAGGGAAAGTAAAGTATTTAACGAAGTTGGGTGGCGCTCAAGCCTATGGTAAGTGCAACGAGGAATCCAAGATTATATACCCTAAACCAATCCACCTCCGTGGAGGCCTTTAATTTTTCCAACACTGAGCTAGCTTGATGCTCTGGCTTTGCTGCAGACCAATAAAAACAAGATGATTGACTTGTTACGTTCACTTTGGGCAAATGTAACAAAAATACCTTCAGATACGCACACGGTAAGCTCAGGCAAGGTTCTTATACACAAGCAAAGATAAAGTAAAAGGGAAAAGTAATAATAGTAATTCGAATAGGAGAATGGAGATTTAATCTAATGATCTCAAAAATATTACAGATAGGTCACTGTAATATATAGATCTGAATTTGCATTTATATTAATTTTTATTCAGAGGCGATCATCACGTATCGGGGCAAATAATAATATCAGAATAGGCTTCCGCAGAAAACAACGGAGCTATATTCTTAAATAAATATCAAACAAAGGTAGTAATTACAACTCGATTGTATCGAAAACCAGTATGTAACCAAACGT